AAAAAAAAAAAAAAAATGTGTCTTACCCACCGTTGGATGAGTTAGATCTGGAAGATCTTGAGTATCTCGAAGGATTGGAAAGGGACTTAACTGCATGGGAGCAAGAATTTTTGGAGGAGCTCCATGAGCGTAGAGATTGGGAGGATCGTGAAAGACAACTCATGGAAGCCCGAGAAGCAATGGTGATCGATGCTAATGGCCATGAGGATGAAAGAGAGCTTAACTTCTTAATCCTTGAGGACAAGGAAAGTCTCGAAGAGGAGGGGAATGATACGGAAGTGGTCATCAACCCCCGTGAGTCCGACAATGATGATGGCAATGATCTCGTTTTATGGTTAGAAAACATGTTGGAAGAGCCATCTAGTCCTATTCACCGGCCATCATGTGTAAGGGATTGGCCGAAAGGATGTGGTCCAAAAGCTGGGTTGAAGCCTAAGAGACGCAAGATCAAAAGAACTCGAAGGAAAGGCAAGGCAAAAGCAAAAGATGAGAAGTGTTGGTGCAAGCCTTGTTCGAGGAAGAGACGAGTTCACAAGATGGTGGCTCGAAGGGGTGGTAAGAATAGAAGGGAGGATGGTTGGATTTGGAGAGTTGGTGATTGCATTGGGATGGATGGATGGAACCCATGGCCATCGGACGGGCCAACGGAGTCGGATGGCAAAGGGGTCGAGGAGGATCGGCTATCGGGCGTGGGGCGCGCATCGGGCCGTGATGCGCGCGAACATACGAAGGGGTCGGATAAGCAAGGACGTGCGCACGGATGTGACGCACGATGGTGTGCACGAGGGGAATACGGGGAACGCGCATCGGGGGATGATGTGCGTAATTATGCGTCGAGCGGCGAGGACGCGACGCACGCTGGGCGCGAAGTAGGTGATTGGAGCTTGGGCGTTGGTGCGGACGCATGCGAGGAAGTCGGCAGGGACGAGGCGTGCGACTGGCACGCGAGTAGGGGCGACGCGGCTGGAGTCCTAAGCTGCGTAGGATTAGGCGACTTACGTGAGGAGACGCATGCGCGGGGCGATGGCGGCATGGACGAGGATCGCGCTGGGGCGCACGCGTACGGGACACGCGGGGCGCGCGATGCCTCGCGCGCCAAGGACTAGGAAACACGCGGGCGGCGCGCATACGCGTGGGACGCGTGCGAGAAGTAAGGCGACCGAAGGAGTTTGAGCATGTATGGTTAATTAGGGAGCT